TTTTCAAGCAGTTTACTCTAGGATAGGGTATATAAATCAGAGCGTTTGGGTCTAGAATAGGGTATCATTTTTCACAAAACTGACCGGTTGGTTGAAGATCTTATCTAGAGTAAGGAAACCAGGAATTGCCCCTCAAAAATATAAAAAAATGAAATCGGCAAGTTTAAATTTACGCAAATCAGCCTCAACAGTGTCGATAGATGGGGGTATTTGGTGGAGTTTACTCTAATATAGGTTGGCAAAATTCAGCTGAACTAGCTCTGGTATAGGCTAAGGGTTCCAGGATCCCAGCGGCACATCCCCACCCAGTAATTCCCAAAGTACCCCCCCCCCCGGGAACGAGGTACAGTGGAACCTCGATTTAACCAACCTCTATACAATGAAGTCTTCGGTATAACGAACGATGTTCTTCGCCTACGCAATAGTAAAGTGTATGGAAAAGAAACTCGATACAACGAAACCTCGTTATAGCGAACATATTTTGCCAGGCCCGTGGCCCTTCGTTATATTGAGGTTCCACTGTATGTGTAGATTGCAAAACAGTCGTTTTCGGACGTTTTCGGAAGGTGCGAAGCGCCGTAAGCGCGATCCTCGCGTGTGAAGCGCGCGAGCCTCACATTAGTGCCTCTCCCCCATTCTCCCTCGCCGTTTTTAGACTCGCTCCAGACCTTTCGTTCGAATATTGACCGTCGCTCGCGTTCACAAAAAATACGACTGTTTTGCAGTCTACTGGATGTGAATTACATGATCATCCCGATTTTAACCCTTTTTTTGCGATCCATGAACCCAAAATTTCGAATGATTTTGCCGGTTCAGTCTTGGCCAGTTCAAAAATCAACCCACACCGTTTGGCTTGTCAGAATTTTGCGTGATTTCAGTATTCGAAGTCCTCTTTCTACATGTCCAAAGCGGTATTGATCCCGGATTTTGCCCCTGATCCCTTACGGCCATGGCTGTGATCCCGACTCCAAGCTTCTCATCCCTGATCCCACATACCTCTTTACAAATCTGTTATTGAAGTATCCCCAATTGGCACAGCAGTGCTAAATACTTTGACGCTTAAATAACTTGAAGTGGTTAATTTATTCACTGACTCGTGACCTGACATCTAACCGACAATGATCGGTATGTTATGTCATATTATGGTTTACTGATCCGCACAACCCTTATCGTTAATTAATTCGTGTCAAAAATGGATCAAGAACAGCTCACGGAAAACGAAGTCGACGAATATTTAGCACGTATTCATTATACCGGCCCCAGAGAACCAACACTCGAGGTCTTAACAGAACTTCAACGATGTCACATGTTGTCAGTGCCCTACGAAAACTTGAGCGTGTTTGGCAAGGAGAAAATAGTTCTCTCCAAGGATTGGTTGTTCGAAAAAATCGTCCGAAGACACCGTGGCGGATTTTGCTGTGAGCTCAACTCGCTATATTCCCTTCTACTCGACTATTTTGGATTTAGCCGCAAGCTGCATGCCGGTGCAGTGTTCACCCGCTATCCAGAGCGCAAAGGAATTCTATTTGATCACATGTTTTTCACGATCAACTTTGGAGATGACCTGTGGCTGACAGATGTTGGGTTCGGCGACTCCTATTTGACCCCTCTTCGATTCAGCAACTCGCCAGATCCTCAAGAACGGGAGAGTGGAATTTATCGCATCCGAAAAGATGGCGAAGAATACTGGTACGAGGAGAAAGCTAAAGCAATTGTTGACGAGTTTGATCACAAAAAGCAAAGGGCATCCACCCATGACGAATGAGAAGCCACCCCTAGATGCAAATTCGATCTCATTCCAAGAACCAGAGAGGACTTCAACGATATGTTAATCTATCATCAAACAAACCCAGAGTCGCCATTCACCCACGATCGCATTTGCACGATAATAGGCTAAGGGTTCCAGGATCCCAGCGGCACATCCCCACCCAGTAATTCCCAAAGTACCCCCCCCCCCGGGAACGAGGTACAGTGGAACCTCGATTTAACCAACCTCTATACAATGAAGTCTTCGGTATAACGAACGATGTTCTTCGCCTACGCAATAGTAAAGTGTATGGAAAAGAAACTCGATACAACGAAACCTCGTTATAGCGAACATATTTTGCCAGGCCCGTGGCCCTTCGTTATATTGAGGTTCCACTGTATGTGTAGATTGCAAAACAGTCGTTTTCGGACGTTTTCGGAAGGTGCGAAGCGCCGTAAGCGCGATCCTCGCGTGTGAAGCGCGCGAGCCTCACATTAGTGCCTCTCCCCCATTCTCCCTCGCCGTTTTTAGACTCGCTCCAGACCTTTCGTTCGAATATTGACCGTCGCTCGCGTTCGCAAAAAATACGACTGTTTTGCAGTCTACTGTATGTGAATTACATGATCATCCCGATTTTAACCCATTTTTTGCGATCCATGAACCCAAAATTTCGAATGATTTTGCCGGTTCAGTTTTGGCCAGTTCAAAAATCAACCCACACCGTTTGGCTTGTCAGAATTTTGCGTGATTTCAGTATTCGAAGTCCTCTTTCTACATGTCCAAAGCGGTATTGATCCCGGATTTTGCCCCTGATCCCTTACGGCCATGGCTGTGATCCCGACTCCAAGCTTCTCATCCCTGATCCCACATACCTCTTTACAAATCTGTTATTGAAGTATCCCCAATTGGCACAGCAGTGCTAAATACTTTGACGCTTAAATAACTTGAAGTGGTTAATTTATTCACTGACTCGTGACCTGACATCTAACCGACAATGATCGGTATGTTATGTCATATTATGGTTTACTGATCCGCACAACCCTTATCGTTAATTAATTCGTGTCAAAAATGGATCAAGAACAGCTCACGGAAAACGAAGTCGACGAATATTTAGCACGTATTCATTATACCGGCCCCAGAGAACCAACACTCGAGGTCTTAACAGAACTTCAACGATGTCACATGTTGTCAGTGCCCTACGAAAACTTGAGCGTGTTTGGCAAGGAGAAAATAGTTCTCTCCAAGGATTGGTTGTTCGAAAAAATCGTCCGAAGACACCGTGGCGGATTTTGCTGTGAGCTCAACTCGCTATATTCCCTTCTACTCGACTATTTTGGATTTAGCCGCAAGCTGCATGCCGGTGCAGTGTTCACCCGCTATCCAGAGCGCAAAGGAATTCTATTTGATCACATGTTTTTCACGATCAACTTTGGAGATGACCTGTGGCTGACAGATGTTGGGTTCGGCGACTCCTATTTGACCCCTCTTCGATTCAGCAACTCGCCAGATCCTCAAGAACGGGAGAGTGGAATTTATCGCATCCGAAAAGATGGCGAAGAATACTGGTACGAGGAGAAAGCTAAAGCAATTGTTGACGAGTTTGATCACAAAAAGCAAAGGGCATCCACCCATGACGAATGAGAAGCCACCCCTAGATGCAAATTCGATCTCATTCCAAGAACCAGAGAGGACTTCAACGATATGTTAATCTATCATCAAACAAACCCAGAGTCGCCATTCACCCACGATCGCATTTGCACGATAGCAATGCCCTGGGGAAGAGTAACTCTTGCTGGAAGCAAAGTGGTAACTTCAACATATCTGGGAGACAACAAAGTCAGGAAAGAGACCAAGGCACTTCAGGGTGGAGAGGAAGAAATAGTAAAGGAACTTGAACAGAAATTTGGAATTAGAAGAGAGGCTTGTTTCTATCCTGAAGGATCTATGTTTTACGGAGTAGACTGGAGCAAAGAAACTTTGTAGTAAAACATGTAAGCCTGGAGTTAATAAGCCGTACCACAGGGCTATCCGGATGTCAGTCGTTTCGCCTACAAGTCGTTTCGCCTACAAGTCGTTTCGTCTACAAGTCGATTCGCCTACATCAAATTTTCGCCTACACGATCTGAGTCGATTCGCCTACGTTAAAGTCGTTTCGCCTACACTTAAGTCGAAAATATTTTGCGAAGAAAGATGAACATCACTGCTGACAAGGAACAGAGGAGTCGTATTTGACCGTATTTCCGGCGCGTAACACGATTTTTGGAACCTCTAAGGGAAACGAAAATTGGCTCGAAAAATCGGAGGTTTCGAGAAATCGGGGGTAAAATCACGGCGTTTGACTGAGAAGGAAAAACGACTTTTCGTTCAAGTCCGAAGACTCGAGAGAAGTTGACAACAAAGCAGAAAAAAAATCACACTCGCCTTTAATACACAAGTTACTTCCGGTTATCAACAAAGTCAACATTATAAACATAACATACACGTGTTTATAGGCACCAAGTTGTTGTCGCCATAACTGGATATACGCACGCTAAGCATGAAAAAATTCTTTTATTAAAGATGTATTCTGAAATTTTCTAATCGGCGGCTTTTGACGATTGTCGGATAATGGCACAAAATGTCACGCGCAGAAAATTTCTCGAACTCGATTCGCGTGCATAACAAAACAAAATACGAGTGCTTGGACGAAAAAGTAGGCACACTCATATCATTTCAAGTTAAAGGTGAAGTTTAATTCTCTATTCTTTTGGTACATGACGAGTTCCTGTTGGTGATCTTCAAGTTTATTAGCTCGTTTGTTGAGACAGAGCGTTCAGCATAGCCGCGCCATCGCTGTGGAATACTCTTCCGAGACTTCCAAAAAACATCATAATGATTGTAAACCTATTTTGTCAATTTTTAGATGAGTATTTAGTATTTAGTAATACGTATTTAGTGTAGGCGAATCGACTTCAATGTAGGCGAATCGACTCAGATCGCGTAGGCGAAACGACTTCGTTGTTGGCGAATCGACTTGTAGGCGAGACGACCGCACCCTTCACACCACCCCTTCTAGGCGCAACAATCGTGGCTTGTAGATTAGGTAAAGGTATAAATTTCAGTGTTCAATGTAAGACGCTTAGCCTCCTCCGTCCATGCTTGTCCGACACTATCGTATGACCTACAATTGGGCATGCGACTCGCAACTGGAATTCGTAACTCCACAACTCGCAACTAGCTGCAACTCAGATACAGTCGAAGTCCTATTAAGTGGCCACCCTCGGGGAAATGGCAGGTGGTCGCTTGATTGGAGTTCGTGTACTTTGAATATGTTTTAGACTGGGTTAAGAAAATCATAATAAAAGTCTGTTTGAATGTTGTTATAAGTCGCCAAATTCTATTTTGGACTCTTATCTGTTATTGTCTTCACCCATATAAGGGCAAACTAAGCCTGGGGGGACTCCCATATTAAAAGTACGGGGGTGCTTCTGGGAAGTTTTGAAAAGAACCCGTAAGAGGTACAAGACCCTGTTTTGTGGGCGTGGCTTGAATTTTTTTCACACCTCAGAGAGGTACCAATTCTAAAACAACAAATTATTTCCTGTCAAATATTTTTTGCTCAATATCTTTCGGTACCGCAAAAGCTGCCGCTTTGGGCCGCTTTTTTTTAACCCCTAAAAGGTAGGACAAGCGCCTCCGTCCTTTTTTGTATAGGGGTCACCCCCCCCCCTCCCCCTACCCCGGAAACTATTAGAAGTGTATAAAGTTTTGGATGATCGCTTAACAGAGGTAAGGACAATGGAGAACTCCCTCATCAGGACGACCCAGAGGTAGCCGCGGACGCCTAATAGTGGTGGCCGGTTAACAGGGGTTTTATTTACCGTCTTCTACTGACAGCAATTTCAGGACTTTGATGTTTAATAAGGGGTGGCCCCCTAATAGCTGGTGTTCAACTGTACCCAGCCTCTAAAACAATCTCTAACTCGCTCTTTAATTTTGTTCCTTTAATTTGTGTAATAAGTTGCAATAATTTTCCCCTCATTTGGAATACCCCAAGGGGAGTCCATAGTCCGTCAAATTCCCAGTTTAAGTGGGTGGGAGTCGGCGAAGGAGCTCGTACAATTCTGCAAGTTTTCCCAAGTTACCTTGCGTCGAGTTCGGCCTGGTTTACTAGCGACATAATCGCTTGTGTCGGTAATGTGAAGATCGACATAAAAACATAAGGAAAAGATCAGATTTTTTTCCTTATGGCTTTATGTTCATGCTGTTAGGTTTCTATGCCATTATGTCAGGATGTTCACACTGCAAACAGAACATAACGTCCTCCATACGTCGTTTTGTCGCTAGTGTGAACTAGACATTACAGGTTACCAATGAGTTATTTTATCGTCTATTCTCTCATACATCGACCACAGCTTCGGACCAATGAATGCACGAGAATTCCCCAGGTTTTCAATGTTGTCCCTTCAGTTGAAAACAAAAGGTAAACTGTAAAAAAATGTAAAATGCCAGACAAAAGCACCCCCTCTCCCCTCAACCAGGAGGATCAAACTTAGAATTGATGGAGCCATTTTTCTGGCTCTCTCTTTTGCGGTTTTGAAAAGAATTTTGTTCATTCAATATTAACTTAAGCTAATGAATGATCAAATCTTAAAATTTTGTTGTTTACAAACAAGATGAGTGAGCGGTCATATTGTGAGCCTCTAAACCAATCGGCCAACCTTGCAATTTCTTGTCCAAGTTTCCCAGTACCCATTTATACACCTGGGTGGAGAGAGGCAATGTGAGAATGTGAGAGTTAAGTATGTTGCCCAAGAACACAACACAATGACCCTGGCTAGGGCTGGAAGCCTGAACACTTGATTTGGAGTCCAATGCATCGACCATTAAGCCATGACACATTTCTACTTTAACAAATTACTTGGAACTCTATTTTCTGAGTTCTTGGGGAACAGAACAATGGCAGGTAAAGCTTCAATAGGTGCGCTCATCAGACCGGTGCTTAGCTCAGGTATTCTGTAGCAAGAGTGGTATGATATACGGTGTACAGTCTAGCACAAGCTGTATGTTTTATTGCCAGAGTTACAATAATTTTACTGGTTAACCCATCCCTTGCATAATTATAGAGGCAGGCAATATAATAACATGATCGTTAGCAGGGCTTAAAGCCAGACTTCTGAATCCAGACTCCCACATGATAACCCATGATTAATCACACTGAGATATCCCTTCAAGTCTAAACGAATATGTCATACAGAACACCATAAGTTTAAGGCTGCTTATTTTAACCTATCTCCTACAATCTAACTCGTCCAAACGTGCACCAGCACATTTATGATGCCACCATGACCCCCCCCCCACCACAGCAGGTTGAGAAGATGAAAACTACAGTAACAACGTTCATATCCCTGTCCATGTCATTCCAATAACTGAGTGCTGGTAAACCCTACAGCAATAACTTAAATCATTGAACTGGTTTTACACTTATTTTATAGTTTTGAGCTTTCTTACGACTTAGGAAACCATACAGTTTTTATACACATGCATGTAACTTTATGTAAAAAAATTAACCGTTAACTTAACAAATTAATTAATCCTTAAAATAACGTCTGACTAGAAAATGTTCCTATGTACCTTTCAGGCACTGAACTCTATACACTAAATGAACATCACTCTTTCTTTCACTCGAGAATTTGCACTGTAAACATATCTCATCTCATTCCTCATCGTGCCCCGCAGGACACCTAAGGCCATACTGTAAACGTATGTTGACTGCTAAATGACAAAGCACATTCAATCCATAGAATGACCTAACCCTAACCCTAACCCTGTGGAATAACAGGTTCCAAGAGCATGTGCTAATATCAAACCTGGTTCTGCATCATGTCTATGGGGTTTAATGTCTTGTTGCATTTAGCTGAACACTTAAAGGGGTTTTCACTTGAGTATCAAGAGAAATGTATATTTGCTTTGGTTTTGCTTTTCTATGCAAAAATCTTGTGCCACTTTTTCAACTAATCAGCAGTGGCACGAAAATTGTGACTCCCTAGCNAAGACTGAAGTCGCATCCACATTTAAATGGCGCTTTCTTTACGAAATCATGTTGTTTTAGCAACGTCGAACACCTTAGATCTCTTCCTATCAGACCTAGACGAAAGGAAAGGGAGAATCTTTTGTTCCCGAGAAGTTAATCTCATCCAAAGCCGTGTTAGAAAGGTTATCAGAAGTATACTACTGGAAGTGAGGAGAGAAAATCCATTCTTCATGACAACACTGATCAACAGTGGTAGCTTTTATGAAGGAACGAAAGTTGGACAGCCGGATGAGTTTGATTATTTCATACAGCTTGACGGCTTTTCTTCTGCAGAAGATACTCTCTTCGAAGAACTTCCGTGTTGTACTGTAGCAGTGGTTCCAAGCAAATCTGCTATTGAGAATCTTAAGTTTCATTCCACTGATGATCGAGGCGATCCGATGCTGTACTTTGACGATTTTGAGTGGAAGAAGTCTATCAAGACACCATTCTTTAAGATTTTTAACAGGAAAGCCAAAGGTCTTGAGGCCTACGGAATGAAAGTAGTGTTGGCATATGAAGGAGACGATACCACGCCTTCTCCACGGCCACTAGCGAGACACGGACCCGCATACACTTTGCTATTGGAATGGAACGGCGGAAAGGAATACAAAGGGTTGAAGATTAGCGTTGATTTGGCATTGGCCGTGAAAATTAACTCTCGACCAAATAAGATCGATTTGGAGTTTGAATCTGCGACCGGAAGAGTACTGAAATCAGTATTTGACAGTGTGCCGTATTTTTTTGCCGTTGGCTCGTACAGGAATATACTCACTGAAGTTCAACCGAATTATTTTGCAGAGTATACCAGTTCGGGTCTCCAACCGATTGATTTTTGTCTGCGTTGTTCACAGTCGTGTTTTGAGCAGCTACTATTTTGCAACGAATTTGGCCCTTACAGTGGGCAATCCAAGTGTTTAAGATTACTTAAAGTGTTGCGTGACATTGTGTTTCCTGATATCGAAAATGAGGTCAATGATAATAAGAACAACAGTGGGTATTGGCAATTCGACGTGGACAGAGCGGCTGATCCTTTAAAAGACACTGGCAAACTGATTTCGTCATACGTCCTCAAAACGCTGGTGCTATTTGAATGGCAGGAGAATCCCGTAGAAGAGCTGTGGTCGGGAACGAACCTCAGTCAACGGCTTGTTAGTATACTTCGTCGCCTTGTTGCTTGTTTGAAGCAAAAGAAGTTACGGAGCTTTTTTTACGCAGACTACAATATATTTCCATCTTCGATCACGCGAGACATGGATTTTTTAAATGCTGCTAGCATGATTTCCATTCTTCTAGATGGACTGTTGTCCCTGATCAGGAACATGAACGAATACAACTTCGAAGAGTGCATGGAGACAATCAAAAGCGACTTCGCGACAGTTTATCGGAAAAAGAGTTTTACCTCCCTATTGTTGACTGGATTGTGGGACACTCTTTTTTCTGATTGTTATCTGAAGAAAGCAGTCGAGGAATCACTGAGAAAGAAAGGCATGGGAGAAATTTACTCACATGAGTTCACTTGTACTGAGCCAGTTCCGGGAGTAACGAAAGTGATCAAAGAGACCGAGGAGAAACGGCGTTTCTACGATGTCTACGTTCAAGCTTTGCTCGATGAAATCGCTCCAGAAGAGACCTTAATCTTGACAAGTACTGATGTGAAAGATACGGATTCTGTGGGTCAAGTAGAACAACTATTCAAGAAAATTGCACGGCAGACAATGGCAATAAATCGTGACATTCTTCCCAGTTATAATCTTTGGTGTCAAGAACACTGGAAACTAGAAGGGTCAGTTTACAAGTATGCAACTGACGAACCAAAAAAGCTATTGAATTTTCTCTTCGATCATTTTCAGGAAGACGTTAATATTTTATTACATGATCTTAAACAGATGTAGGCAGTCTCATTTGAATCAGTGACTTGGCCTTCAAAATGATGAGTTTATTTTGTAGCAAATTAATTCAAGGTGAATTATGATTGGTTTACCCGGCGGTCCGAATTTTGCAATACGCATCGCTGAGATGGAACACTCAAATGAAATTTCGGTGATATGCTTTTTTGAAAAACCACACTTTAAATACTAGCAGTAATCAAAGATAATAGGAGAGCGTTTGATGCCTTCACTTTAACAGCTTGAATGATTTCATTAGCTGACTTTCAACTCAGGTCTAAAATTAAATCAACATTTTTATATCAACAACAGAAGTTTCAAGATAGGTAATAATAATAACATAATGACAAAGTCCAGTATGTTTCTGTGTTTGTGGCTAGCAAGTAGAGGTCCTCTCTGTTAGCTACGATTTGTTTATGCATTGCGTGACAGCGCCAGTGTCCATACACTTGCAAATTAGCTAGAACTAAAATATTTATATTTGCTTTCAAACCTCCGAGAGCTGAAACATTTTTACTGTTACTAATAGTGTTTTAAGATACACATTCAGTCACGTGACGCGTTTAGACCAATCGTGCGTTAGCGAAAATATTTGATGCAATATAAATGGCAGCATGTTTAAACTGTGCAAATTGACTTTTGATTTTTCACTCGAACATGATGCTATTTAAATGTTATGTTATCTTAGGTTGTGTTAAAATGGAACTTGAAAGGGATTAGCCCTGTTCCCTTCTACATAGATCCAATGCCACTCATAAACTTCTGTAGTTTAACTGCTCGCCTAAACTCTTCTACGGCTGGCTGGTATCAACAACCCACAGATCTTGCACTGCCTGTTTCGTAGTGACCAGGTTTAAGTTGTCCTTCTGCTGTCAAAGTAACACGATCTAGATCTTGGTATTCAGTCTTTCGTAAGGACTTAAACACGGCGAAAGAACGCGTGCAACACACTTGATTACCATAATCTCCTTCGATGAAATACCTTTGTAAAAACCTCAACATCAACAATAAGAAGAGCAATATGATAAAAATTACCATTTAAAATATAAAAATTGTCATTTAATAAAATCAAACTGAAGTAACTAAAATATACTGGAAAACGCAAACTCAGGCTTAAGGTTACATGCTACGTCTTCAAATAACAGTTTTAAGGAGCTACGTCACGGTTTGTAAATTTTAGCCTAAATTTTTCAAATTCGTCGTTTGTAATCCGTGTTTATCTTACCCAGTTCCTTTATGTTTTATCATTATCTATTTGGTGTTTTTCTATCTTAGTAAATGAATATGTTCAGGTCTTCTTTCAATTCAAATGTAATTTTGTATGAGGCCAAAATAAATCAATAACGTAACTGGGCTCCTTTAACGATACTTTTTCGGAGAAGGGCGTGTTTACTAGTTACGCCGCTTTGCACATCTAAATAGTAAGTGCTTTTACAAGTTTCGTAGAAAGAGAACTGAACTGAGAACGTGTTATCAACAGCCTCCATTGTGAAAGACCGAATTGTAAAGGACACCCAACCAGTTACCATTTTAATTAGGTGTGGCAGTAATTACAAACTTCTGACACGTTGACAGTTCAAACGGATCGCTGGAATAGAGCAACTAAAAGCAATTATAAAATTAAGTAAATCTAGGAAATAACGAGCTTTCAAATACGTACACGAGGTTTTAAATTTAAAGTCCAATTAAATTATGAGACAGAGAAATACCTTTTTTACAAAGAAATAACCTTAGATACATTTAAGAAGAATTAATAGTGTCCACATCATTGATGCACACCACATATGTCTATTACACAAGGCCTGCATCCTCCAGCCGTTACACTAGCCTCGTCAAATCGGAACACTTTAAGTTTCAGAGTCCAGGGAAGGTTGAGAATGTTATTAGTTCTTAAACCAGGAATAAAAAAGAACCTGATACCATCTCCTGCATTGAAAACACTCTGCTGTTTCAGCACAACAGCTGTCATGGCAACATTTCATATTCCTCGTTCCGCATTCCACAGTTTCAGAATTCTGTTTCCGTACAAATATTAAGTATATGCAAATTTTGGGCTTCTTAGAATCATCCACAATTCTGCTAAAAACCATTTATCTTCTTACGAAGATTTGTCACCATACGATATAAAGCCAGAGTATAACGACAATACGTCTCTGAAAATAGTCGCAGTTTATAACAGACTGTCTGATGCGCGTCCGCATCACGCGCTGAATCGCTTGCCAAAGTGCCATGTAGCTCCTTGAACGAACATGCACTTGGTGCCTATCGATAAACCTTGAAATGGAGGTTATTTTGAACAAATTAATAACACAGTGGTTATTCCTACGGCACCCGTACGACGANGGAATATTCAGTCACGTGACGCGTTTAGAGCAACCGCACGTGCATGAGCGAAAATATTTCATGGATTACAATAACTACTAAAAACGACAGAAACCGGTCTCGGACCGGAATCTTTGAACTCCGAGAGAACATAGGCTAAAAAGATCTAAAATGTCCACATTTTCACAACTCCTTTTCTTCCATGGATGCCTCTCTGGCAAGTTAATTTAGATAAACCTTTATTTACACCCTAGCTGTAGTATATAAAAAAAGTTGAATTTCAAAATCGTGTCTAAGTGACCTTAGTATTAGCCAGTAATACTATGGTAAATAAATACCTTGAAATTAAAAGTGGACTACATAAAACTTATGGTGCACGTTAGACTTGTTCTAAAAGCGACCTTAAATAGTTCGTATTATACAAATTACGCCTTATTCAATTCGCACATTCTGTTGTGATCACCTCAGTGAGACCACGATATTTCGAAAAATGTCATTAATATTAGAATTCATACAAGAGCATATGTCTCTTAAAGTCAACTGTATCAAAACCTGTCAAGAACACTTGCTTGTCTTCTAGTTTAACGTGCTGTGCATTTTCAAGTTTACTTCATCAGCAAGTACCTAATGAACACTTTTGACCAAGGAGTCCGCGTCGCGATTATTTTCCAGGGTGGGGCATCACTAACATGTAACTTTTAAATTAACATTACCAATAAATCCAATCGAAGAATTATTGCAACATAAGTTGCATTCTCGTGCTGACATTATTACGGGCCTACATATGTTATCCTCTGATGCCCCATTGGGACACTTTCCTCTGGGCCCAGCTCATTGCAATCATAGATGTTCCATTTGACATAAAGCTCCGGATTGATCCTGGAACAATTCCACGGTAAAGACCGAAGAAACCGCCCCTCTTCTTGATCGCTATTCTCATACGAGCTGCAACTGGAAGGTCCCTTCAAACAGAATGGAACTCTGATTACAACTTTCTACAGTAAAATATTCATCAATCCTTTTTATACCTGCCCTCATGAACGCCCTGTCCACACTACGCCAGAGGAATTTGAAAACGGAGCTTTACATCTCTGGTAAGGCCTTCCGTCCACACTGATCCGTCACGAAAACGGANCCCCGGAATTCTTGATTTACACCCTTAAGCGAGACAACCAGTATCCGCAACAATTTTATCCTCCCCCGGGTTAGAAACATGTTTACTTAGCACCTACATGAAATTACAATAGCCAGTCAGTTTAAAAAGGATACGTTGCAGCTATTCCTGATGAAAGAAATGGTCCTAAGATTGGTCTTCTAAAAAGATCAGGAAAATGTCTTCTTCCAGAATCCAAAAGAACAAAGTATGTACACATAAGCCCCATTGTACGACACCACGTCACACCAAAACCCTGTAGCAGAGAAGAGGGAATTTATAACAGACACTGTACAGCAACAAGTGCTGACCTCAAACAGTTGGCCACTTTCCTTGTCCAAAAGCCAAGCATTCATAATGCAGTTTTTCCAGTAGCTTGATCCATAACACTAACTGGACATGGCTCAATCATGTATATATTTTTTTGATTAGCTTTTAAACATAAAAAATTAGATCTTGTTATTTTTATGTTTACGTGTCTCATTTGGTGATTTTGTTACAGAAACTGCTATTTTCGCCTCAAACTTAAATTAAGTTACTTAGTATACTGTCTTATATCACTAACTGGATACAAACGCAAATGAAACTGTTCCGAGTCTCACCCTGTAGAGTCCTTTGAATTTCCATGATTGACCTGTTTGTCTTCGTACCTGATAAAAATCAAATCAACCATTTTAGCACAGATTCCTCAACATTTTATTACTAAAGAATTCACAAGGTAGCCCGCATCGCCAACCCACTACCCTCCCACAGAAAAGCTTAAGTTAGAACATAACTTTTTTTTATCATGCCAAATGTTTAGTTAACAGTCTTAGTGTGAGTACCTTTGCTAGCTCAAGAGGAGTCTCAATTATGGCTCTAGTTGTTGAAGCTGCTGCTCCTGCTATTAACACTCTTCTATTAGGAAAAGAAAAAAAATCATGTACAGTGCAGTTTAAGGTATTTTTAGTTTCTCAGAATATTTGAAGCTACAAATACATGTTAACACTACAATGTTTTTCTGTAGAAAATTATCCAAGGATGTATAGCCATTAGTGAGGTGAAGACATTGAAGCCACTAATTACAGTGTATAATGTTTCACAATAGAGTGATCTAATTTAACTAGCAACATACAAAGAACCAAACAAACAAACAAACATTACTAACATTTGTAATCCACCTGTGAAAGGAATTTTTCTTGTTCCAAATCCATTGAAATATGTGTACCTGTAAACAAATAACAGATTGAACTTTTATTTTTGATCATTACAACAGCAATAAAAAAGAAAGGAACCAAAAAGTTACCTGAGCACTTCCCCTCAGTTATTTTAATCTATGCTGTATTTTTTTTGGCCAGTGGTAGATCCAGGTATGCTCCAAAAGAAGGGAAGGAGGTTGTAAAACAGGACGCATGTTTCTGTGTCTAAAATTTGGGGTTGTAAATGGAAAGGGAGATGGTATTTGGGCTCTTAAGACCTTTCATTATTCGTCAAGAAGGGTGAGGAGAGGCCTAGATCTATCCATCCCTGGCTGCATACTTTATCGCTGACTATCCTAGAAGTTCTTCATTAGTCTGTCACTCAGGGAAATGCAATGGATACCACACATTTATCGTGTCTTTATCGTGCCCATGGATATATCTGTGGCAGAATAAAACTGCAGATACGTTCTGCTAGATGTAATTTATACAATAAATAGAGTCATGTGGTCCATAGTGGGAGGCAACGTGGGCTAATGGTTGGTGCACTAGACTGTAGCTCAAGAAGTCCAGGTTCGAATCCTGGTAGGGGACATTGTGTTGTGTTCATGAGCAA